GTCCTCAGCTGGCCCTGGGCCTCTCTCTCCACTGGCCCAAACCAAGAAGGCTGGGTCTGAGACTGGATGAAGGAATTAAAACTCTCACAGACACGTCCCTTTGTCCTCTGCAGTCCCAAAGGAACATTCTGCCTTTCTGTCTCCGTGGGGATGAATCACCCAGTGTCCTGGAGGGAGGAACCCACCTGTGTCCCCCACGTTCTCCCAAAGAGAGGGCACCGAGGGACCCAGAACTGCATGGTCCACTCCCTGTGCTGATAGGGGAAAGCCTGTCTCAGGGCTCCTCAGGGGGCCCCCGTCTGGCTAGAACAGTGGCTGGAAACACTCACAGATCCCGTCCACCACCCAGACCGCCATCCTCACCTCTTCCAAGTTCAGAGCCAGATCTCAGAAGTCCGGGCTCACAGGGGTCTGATCCAGCCAGGGGCATGCAAGAAAGAGAAGGCCAGGCTGCCTGGATTTTCCTCTCATCTCCTCTGGAAGAGTCTAGAAAGCCACTCTCTCAGGGTGCAGAGGGGAGGGCAGTATGACGGCAATTATCATTGTGTCCGGCCCTGCTCTGAGGATTTTACATCCACTCTCCCGTTGAACCCACACAACAACCCCACTGGGTAACACCTGTCCGCATTTCAGATGAGGAAACTGAGGGGAATTTGCTCAAGGTCACACAGCTGGAGCAGTGAGGCAGGATCTGAACCCGAGGCCGTCCAAGTCCAAAGCCTGTGCTCTTTGCTGTCTCCGTTTTAACACTCTGTGCCAGGTGCCCCGTGAAGAAAGAAAGCTTTTAACATGCAACGTGCACAGTGACTCTCTAAAGAGGGACGCAGGAAGTCAGGTCCCCATTGATGTGCTGTAGATTGTTTCTTATCTCCCCAGCATCTCCAAAACCCAGTAATCCACGGGGCAGGTGCTGGGATACGCTGGTACATGGAGCAGAGAAATAACACCTGCTCCTCCCACACTCCCCAAATACACATCTGCCCCCAAACTGCAGGCATGTACAGTAGGCGTGTCTGACTTGGAACAGCCTCGGCACAAACGTCACTTCCTCGGGGTGGCCCCTCCTGCCACCCACTGTACACAGGACACATGGCTCTTGTCCTCTTCCTTGTAGCATTTACCACAATGGCACGTATCTGGTTCTTAGCCGTCTCCCCAGCCTGACTGCAGATTCCCAGGGAGAAAGGCTTGCTCTGCCCTGGAGAAGGTGCTTAGAGATTTACACAGTCTACGCCACCTGTAAGCTGGTAAGTTGTGAAACGGCACCGATGCCTACTGTCTACACTGCCTGTAAGCTGGCAGGTGGTGAAAACAGAACCTACCACTAAGTGGTCCTCAAAGATTTCAGCTCTTCAGCTGCCAATTCTGGCTTGGGAGCTTTGTGAGCTATGGCAGACTATGTCGCTGGGCCTCCCAGACATTCGTTGTCCTCTTCTTTACGACAAAATTCCCAGCAACGTGCCTGATGAAATTCTCTCCTTCCACATCTCCCTTGTAGCCAAGGATGGTCAGAAGATTCAGTTCGGGCCAATGAGATGTCAGCAGAATTTGCTGCAGCTCTGAGGAGAATTCTTTTAAAGACTCAAACTTGGCCTTTTAATTTTTCTTTTTCACCCTTCCACCTGCTTACTACCTGGAACATGGATGAGATGCCCAGGGATTCAGCAGCCATCTTATGAGCATGAGGAGAAAAGCTACACGCCCAGGGTGGCAGAGCAGGAAGCTGAAAGGAGTCTGAGACTGGGTGATATTCACAGCCTGCTGTACCAGGCCTTCTGGGTCAGCGAAAATATCAACCATTTCCTTGTTTAGGGCACTGTTTGTTGGGTGATATTAATTCTAACGATACACCCACCATGGGACCTTGGCCAAGTTACCGGACTTCTCTGAGAATTCCTCCCCTCAGCTGTAAACTGAGGTCAGTAACAAAGCCTTCTGCTTGTGGAGATGCTCCCAAGACTTTTAGTAGGGACCAGAAAGTGTTTTGGAAGTTGCAGCGTTTCCCTCCATGCTGGCTGTTACAGATGCCCACCCAGAGACGATTACTGTCAAGCCACAGGGACTCGTCCCCAGGGTTTAAGGCAACTGGTTGGATGATCTAGGAGAGCTCTGAGACCAGCTGCTGCACCTCCCTCCATAATCCGCCTGCCCAGCAGGCCCTAGGGAGACGCTGAACGCTTTGGACTCTAAGAGGATGACACACTTACCCAGGCTCTAAGTCAGCTGGCGCGCTGGGCCGCCCCTCCCCTCGGTCTAGCAAGCCTTGGTCAAGCCACAGCCTGAGGGCAGAGGGCGCCCTCTGGAACAGCAGGCAAAGAAAGCTGATTTAGTCATCAGACGTAGCATTAAGTCAAGGCTTGCTGAGGCAAGCAAGGCAAATCATGAGAACAGAGGCTCCAGAGAAAAGGCCAGGGGCTTGCCCCACCACCAGCTTTATGTGCAATAACCCCTCCCCCATCTTCCTGGTCCATCTCCTGTGCCCGCAGTGGGGGAGGGGAGGCCTGGCTGAGCCACTGGTCTCGTCCTGACCATTCAGTAAGGAGCACATGGATTATGAAGACTGACAGGGGACGGTACGTGTGTGGAAGGAGCACAATCGTATTTGCATAGAAGGGCAGCCGTCCCCTTACCGCACAAACACCATAAAGCCAGGGCTGGCCCCGGTGCTCTCAGGACAGACATTTCACAGATGGCAAAACCCAGCCTCCAGGGCTGAAGCCTAGCACCCAAAGCTACACAGCTGCAGGTAACAGGGTTAAGATTCCAGACAGGCCCTTGGGCCTCTGAGTCCTGATACCTGGCCCACTGGGACACCTAGAAGAGAAGAAGATCTCAAAGGGGCCAAGCTCCCTCCGTTTCCCAGCTTTCTTTAATGCTGCCATCACATGGAGAAACAGAAGAGTTATAGTCAGGAAATGATCTGTAGCGGGGGAAAGGGTGCCAGCCTGGGAATACAGTGGGAAGCTGGAACCCACGTGAGGACGGCGATTCTCCAAGCAAGAAAGAATCAGGGGGAAAGTCTCTCCTGGATTAGGGAAAAGCGGAAGAGTGGAAGCAGGGCCATCCACGGAGCAGAGGGAGGCAAAGGAGGCCTGTATGCTGAGTCTGATGCTGTGTTTACGTCACAATCGTGACACCCTGGGGACAGGGCTACTACCCCCACTTTTATAGGTTAGAAGACTAAGCCCCCAGGAAGTCAGGTGACTACCCAAGAACGCAGGGCTAGCAGAGGGAAAGCTGACCTGAACCCGCCTCTGTCCACTGTATCTATTTTGCAACACCAAGAGATGTGCGTCTACACTAGGTCAGCCTGATGGCCTGGGCTGGACCGACCTGGGAAGCCCATCGGAGCCCCATCACGGGGACGCTGTTGGGCAAGGTGCTCTGTCCCCTCCACCAGGAGGGCATTCCCAGGAAGCCCACAGAGGAGGGCAGAAGAGGCAAAGCCTCCCTTGGCACTGACCCAGATGCGTGCCGCTGCCATCTGCCGCTCGGAGTTTGCTCTAAGTCCTAACTGCTTTCTCAGAAGTGAGGCTGGGGGCAGGCGGGGATGGGAAACGGTGGGCTGAGGATTTCCAAGCCTCTGAGGTCTTCCCACCTTCAGTCAGGGGGCAGGAAAACAAGAAGCAATCGTGTGCCAAGAAAGAAATTCGTAAAAGGTCACCATTTCCATTTTCCCTGTGACCTGATCTGCTTCCAAGAGACGGGAAAAAAAAAGTCAGCACCCACACAATGGGGATCAGACGTCGCCCCCTGGCCCAGCTCCACCAGACTGGGAGCTCCAGAGCAGAAGCCAGACCCCAGGAGACCCTCCGGCCCACTGCCCCTCCTGCCCCGGCCCCCTCTGTCCCCTCCACCCAGAGGCCCTGTGGGTAACATCAGCTCATTGCCTGGAGATCCCTGGTGAGCACACAAACACAGATTCCCATGGAAACTGAATCAAATCAAACCATCCAAATAACTAAAGATCCAGGTGGAAGGAATTAGAAATAGCACCAGGAGAGGAGATTTGGGGCCAAAGGAAGTTACCCAGCCCCTGAGCGGGAAGTGATGAGCAGTGGACTCAACTCTGCTGTCCCCACGCCGCCCCCCCCCCCCCCCCCAGTTATATGGCCTTTGGCTCCGCACTGAGTCAAGCGTTGCCATCTATCTCATCATCGTGTGACACTGGGCAAGTCCCTTAAACCCCCGTCTCTTCAGCGCGGTTGGCAACAAAAACCTCTATTAAAGGGTTGTTTTGAGGATTAAATGAGATGATGCAGGAAGAGAGGGCAGGACAGTTTCTGACAAACAGCTGACGCTCAAGATACACCAGCTCTTACGACTCCCATGGTTTAGTATGTATCTAACAGTCAGATGGACCAAATTTAGGACTATCTCAATAATACCCTTTGACGAGTTTCTTAACATCTCCAAACTGGTCTCTCATCTGCTAAGGAGAGTATCATTTCCCACCTTGGCAGGGAAGCCCTGAGACAACGGGTGGGCACGCAAATACCCATTTGTTCCCTTCCCACCTCTTCCCTCCCCTCAGTGGCCTTCCACAAAGTGGCTCCCCACCTGGAGCAGAAGGGGTAGGGCTGGATAACAAAGCATCTGCCAGCTCTGATATTCTTGGATTCTAGAATTCTAGCCAAAGAAAATAAACCAGAACCCAAAATACTCTCACTTTCCCCACTCATCAGATTTGCAAACACAACTGCCTAGTCTGATGCCAGAACCTTCTCTGCAGAGTCAGATCAAACCACTTCCTTCCTGCAGCCCCAGCACCTCAGGCCAGCCGCCCACCCAGCTCTGTGCTCTGAGGGCTCCAGAGCCTCTCCAAGGGGGGACAAAGTAGGGTCTCAAGAGCTGCCCATCCTAAGGTGGCGTCAGGCCAGAAGAGATAAGGCCGAGATGCCATCTGCTCTGGCAGCTAAGCTGTCTCCTAAGACAGCAGATCTGGAGCTGCTTCTCACTGAGGACCTCTGGGCTAACAATGTGTATTTTGATTCATGCAAAAAAAAAAAAAAAAAAAAAAATTCTCGACCACTTTGGGAAAGGAAACGAGTCTGCCCGATTTAGTCAAAATGCTGAAGTACCAAATACTCCTCGAAAAATAACATTGGCTGCTTTGGGACACACACAGTGAGGCAGCTCAGCCTCCTTAAACTCAACTCCCAAAGCGCTGCCCAGACAGGGCCCTGATTCCATGAGCCATAAGGACCAACTAAATGAACAGATGAAAGTGGGCTGCCGTTGAGGCATGTCAGTTCTCGGGTCCTTACAGCAGCTCCCCCTCAAGGGCTTGAACATAAACCCACCATAGCACTGTTCAGATTATCTACCTGGCCAGATCCTTTTTGATAGAAATTGCAAAGGTGACCTAGAATCTAGCACTGCAGTACATGTCGTGGTTGAGAGAGCTGATCTGGGGCAGAGTTGGGTTCGATGCGGCCCCGGCACAGTCGCTGGCCATGGGAAAGCCTCAGTTTCCTCATCTGTCAAGAAGGCATGAGGGTACAAAGTCCCAAAAGATTCAACAAAAGCCCCTGGGAAAGCCTGGGCCCCCGCCTGGCTCCTCAGAGAAGCTGAAGCCCACAGCAGGCAGGAGACTGTCGTTTTGCAGGAGCTGCCGCGTGAATCCAAGGTCAGGGTGGGTGGGAGAGTCTCCGCGCTGGTACGCTCTGCAGGCACCGCTGACCAAGGTGCTGTCAGCCTCTGCTCCCGCCCCGTGACCCAGAGAACGTCAGCCATTACGGTGCACGGCATCCTCTGAAGGACATCCTTCAGCGACCCACGCCCACGATTTTAGAGACTGCTGGAAATCTGGGAAACCTTGACAGATATCATGAGTCAACAAGATCTAGTAGCCAAATCTAAATGAATATAGTTTTATCCAAAGATCTTTTTGGAAACAACCTTGACAAAGTGTCACTCGGCACGCGGATGCAGCTCAAATATTGTGATTCATTTGTAAGATGGATCCTATTAACAGCTTACAGGAAGAATACATTTTGCCCTTGGAGGACTCAGAATCCAAGCCAGAGGGACCTCTGCATGTGCCAATGCCTCTGCATGGGTGATCGGTCCCTAATCTCCTCCTGTCATATGACTTCACAAATCACTCAGGTCTCAGTCCAATGTCACCTCCTCCAAAAGCCTTTCCCAACCCCTTAACCTGCCCCATCTCATCAACCTGCACCATCGTCTTCCAAGCCCCTACAGTAGCTGGGGTTGTCATTTTGCTGAATCCTTCACGTGTGTTGCCTCCCCCTTCTAGGGAGTCAGGAGGCTGGGTGCAATCCTAGCCCTACCCCTCTCCCACCCCGTGACCTCAGGCAAGCGACTGAACCTCTCTGCGCTCAGGCTCTCCATCTGTCAGATGAAGACAGAGTTTGTTGTGAGCAGTAGGAAAGCAAAACCCGGCAACACACTGGGAATATGGTGCTGAGCTATTCGTTTAGAACTGAAGCCCCTGGAAAGAGGGCTCACTGCCTGTCAGGCTCACTCCAGTATCCCCAGCACCTAAGACAATGCCAGACACAGAGCAGACATTTGTTCCAGAAACAAAGGAATGCACAATTGGGAAAATGCATCCACCTCCCAGGAGAGCTCTGGGACTCACTGGGAGGGCTCAGCCCAGGCTGGGGCACGATGTTGATGAGCCGTCTCCTGCCTCCCCAGCCCCTCGCCAAGGCTAACCTCTGTGGTCTTCAGGTTGCCACTCTGCTGATGTTGAGAGGACGTGGCAGCCCGCCCACTCCAGCCTTAGCCACCTTCAAGTTCGCTTGCGCAGGCCCCAAACTCCTGTCCCCTGCTCTTGCTACTACCTGTGCCCGGAGAAGGGAGTGCATAACAGTGCTTGGCAAACTGTCAAGAGTGACACAGAAGCAAGGAATTATCTTCACAGAGGAGAGATAAACTACGTTTTCCAGGTTTCTTGAATGACCAAAATTTTAGCAATCTACAATAACCATAGGACCCAACAATTCCACTTTGGGTACGTACCCAAAAGGACTGAAAGCAGAGTCCTGGACAGGTGTTGCACACCCATGATCACAGCAGCAGTATTCATAGCAGCAGAAGGGTGGAAGCAACCCCAGTGTCCACTGGTAGATGAAAGGATAATTAAAATTCGGTCTAGACATATAGAGGAGTATTATTCAGCCTTAAAAAGGAAAGACATTCTGACACAGGCTACAGCGTGGATGAAACTTATCTCACGTGACATTAGGTGAAAGAACCCAATCACAAAAGGACGAACGCTGTGTGATGCCACTTACGTGAGCTACTTGGAGGAATTAAATTCTTAGAAACGGAAAGTAGAATGGTGGTTGCCAGGGGCTGGGTGGAAGGGAATGGGGAATTAGTGTTTCATGGGGACAGTTACAGTTTTGCAAGATGGAAAGCGTTCTGGAGGTTGCCAATGGGAAGGGGGTGGGGGAGGGATGGACTGGGAGTCTGGGGTTAGTAGATATAAACTGTTACGTATAGAATGGATAAACACCAAGGTCCCACTGTAGAGCAGAGGGAACTCTATTCAATATCCCGGGATAAACCATAATGGAAAAGAATATAATAAAGGAGTGTATAAACTTGTGTAACTGAGTCTCCTTGCTGTGCAGCAGAAATTAATGAAATTTTGTAAATCAACTATACTTTAATAAAAAAATTAATTAAAAAAATTTTTTAAAAAGAAAGAGTGCTGAGATGGATGGAAGTAACGGCTGCCCTATATTATGGATGTACTTCATGCCCCTGAAGTGTGGACACTTAAAAATGGTTAGGATGGTAAATTTTATGTTGTCTGTGTTTCACCACACACACAAAAATAAAAATTGGAAGAACTTCATGATACAGTTGGTAGAGCAGGTGTGTTATTGGACCAATACTGGTTGGGAAACATCACATCAGGGTTCCCCTCTGTCACTGTCCTCTCTACACAAGGCTGGAGCGAATTTCCCCATTTCACAGATGAGGAAACTGAGGCTGAAGGGAGGTGAAGCATCTTGCTCTGGGTCAAACAGCCAAGAAAGGGCAAACCCGGCTCTCGAGTCTGGTTGAATCTGTGGCCTTGACCTTGGGGAGGAGGGACATCCAAAGGCTGCTGCAGGAAGACGAAAGCACAGAGGGGATGGCTGCTTCGGTGGCGGGAGCGGGACCAAGAGCTGACATTTCAGTGACAGAGAAAGTACGTTAGTCTCCCTGCCCGGAGCCCCGCCCAGCCCAGCCCCGAATGATCAGCCAGCCCCTGAGGCTGCCACTCAAGCTTCACAGCCCCCTGAGCCCATCAAACAGCCAGGGCCGCGGCTGCCACAGCTGCTGCATCTTTGCAGCTCTACTGCCCTGTCACTCGTCTCTCCCTGTTCTCAGGAGGGTGGGAAACGACCAGACAGAGGATCAGATGTCATCACCCTCAGCTGCCCGCACCTCACAACCCTGGACAAACGATTCCCCTCTTTCTCTGTCCTTCAGTTTCCCCAGGTGTAAACTGAGGGGCTGGGTGAGCCAAACCTGGGACCCCTGGAGACAACCTATTCACCTCCCACTTTCCCAGAGCACCCCCATGTACCCAGTGTCCTGTGAGACAAGAGACCAGCGGGGGGAGCTCTGGCCCGGGGACGGGAGAGGCAGAGACCTCGGCCCGGGAGCAGCACAGTAAGAGCACGGGCTTCCTTCCCGCTCCGACAGACCTGGGTGGGATACCCAGTCCCAGCCTCCGGCCTCAGCTTCCCCACCTGAACGATGAAGATAATGGTACCTCTGCTTATGCTGTTGTTGAGGAGTTAAATGAGATATTGGCCGGGAAGCCCTTAGCACAGGGCCTGGCTCGCAGGAAGCACCATTAAACCAGCCTCATCAGGCGTGGGCAGAACGGGAAGCTCTCAGGGCTGGAAGAGGCAAGGCTCGGGGTCTGGTGCCACCTTCCTGTCACTGCAGGGGACCTCAGGCAAGTGGCTTCCGAACGCTGACTCTCTTCTTCTTAAACAAGTATAACAGAGTACAACCAGAGGCCGTGTCCCATGAGACCAAGCGCTCCTTGAAGACCGAGGTCTGTGTTTTGGGTGCCGATACAGCCAGTGAAGTGATGGGTTCGGGTCCCCCGACCTTTGATGGCCTAGAAGGTGCAGGGAGCTGACAGTCTGAGTCACAGTGGGACGAACGAACCAGACATGGTCGGTCGGTGATGGGTGGGGCTGAGTGACTAGCCGTTGTCCTGGGCCTGAGCTACTCATAGCCCCGCCTCCTGGCTCAGTCTTGGACCCAGGGAGCTGCCCTAGTCCTACCCATCCCAGGTCCCTCTCTGTTCCTCTGCACAAAGGTGGGCTGAGCCCACCGGGTGGCCTGGCTTCTAGCTCTAGTAGGGCTGCAGGCTCAGTCAACACCACCCCGCTGAGCCCCCGCCAGCAGTGACCCCAGAGAAGAAAGTGTGCCTGGAGGTCTGACCACGTTTCCTCCCACCCCCGGGGACATGTGCAGGGGGGAGCTGGTGGCTCAGGGGGTTCCCAGACCCCGGAGTCTAAGGGTGACTTCCACATGTCCATCCATGCCTATGACCTGCATTCTTGCAGAGTGTGGCCTCTGCTTTCTGAGCAGTAAGCGCCGCTGTGAACGGCACTGGTGTCTGAGTTACAGCCAGGAGAGATGGGGAGAGGGCCCGGAAGTCGGGGGGGGCCTCCCTGTCTGCATGACCTGGAGGCACTGCTCATCTGCAATAAGGTGATACCAGAGCCCACACCCAGGGCTCTTGCAGAAAGTAAATGCGTGCACTTAAGTAAAGTAAAGTAAAGTAAAGGCGGCCTGCCTAGAACAGTGCCTGGCACATAGTAAGGGCTCAAAATCAGTCATTCTTACTGTTTTATTAATTTTACAGATGGAGGGTAAGGGAGGCTCAGAAGAGTTAACTTGTTCAAGGGCACACACCTTGAAAGGGTCAGCTAGAATTAAATCCGGTTGGCCTGACTCAAAAAAGGGGGAAAAAAAGATGCTTTTGTTCAAGATGCCATGACATCTCAGCTATGGCCTGACTGTGGCAAGTTTCACCGTCTGGGTGGCTCAGTTTCTTCGTTCATAAAATGGGGAGATGCCCGCCCTGATCTGAGTTCATCCACTGCAGATGCACCGAGAGGCTGGGACAGCAGTGATGCTATAAACCCAGGGTTGATGAGTCAGAGAGCTGCTCCTGGGGGGTGAGAGGGCATCTCCAGGCTCAGCTGCTTTTAATCACAAACCCCTGGGGTGGAAATGACCTGTCCCAGCCCAAGCTGTCCCTGCAGACTGCCCCAGACGCCCACTGACAGCAAGGGAGGCGAGAGGGCCCCAGGCTAGAAGGACCTCCCTCGGGCAGGCGGCATCCCTGCCAGCTCACGGAGTCGCCTTCAAGCCAAGCCAGCACCGCTTTTAAGTAAAGGGCACGTGATGGCTGCTAACCCTTGCTCAGGCTGCCTGCTCTTGGTCCTGACACAGACGCTGCTAGGAGGCCGTAAAAGCAGGTTTCATAGTCAAATCACACCAGGCACTGTCTAGCCGTGCAACTGAGGGCCAGGCACGCTTAACCTCTGAGCCTGTTTCCCCAGCTTTAAGAATGGAGACAGCAATCCTGACTGCATAGCGCTGCTGGGGTTCAGTGGGGTGTCCCCTGCGGAGTTCAGGTGTCACACGTCTGGATGTCCAGGGCCTGGTGCACAGTGGTGATGTAATAAGTGTGCTCTGAACAAGTCAGTGTTACCCAGTAGGATGTGTTGGCCTCAGAGAACAAACGGCCGGACAGAACCAACACCTCGGACACACCCTGTGGGTTCCACGGGCGCGGGTCAGGGGGGTCTCCAGGTATAGCCAGGATGACGCATAAGTGCACTAAGGCCCACACACCTTGAGTGTGATCTTCGCACATTCACCTCCCTGATTTCACCCCAGCCGACGTTTCCAACCCCTCTCCCTCTCTCCCCTCCCTTCCAAAGACAACGCCAAGATTCCCAGCCTCTGGTGGATGCTGGGCCGGTCGTTGAAATACGAGATCCAGGAGGATGAGTGAGGTATTTGGGGGGGAAGGGGGTGAAAGGTATGATGGAGACGCAGGGCTCAGAATGGGCCGGAAGCCCGGGCACCTGTGTGATGTGCAGGCAGAGGTCCAGGTGAGCGTGACGGCCTGCATCTGGTCTCTCTTCGGTCCTGTCTTTTCCGGGAAGCCCACAAGACCTGGATGTGCTCAGGCTTCCGGCTCCACCCCCAGCACCTGGCACGGCATGGGGCCCATGTCGCTTTGGGATAATGAGTCCAGGATTTACAGTTCCTGAGGTTCTGACCCGCCCCTGGGCCATGAGAGGCCAACCCACTCTCCCCAAAACTTGTTCTTGGACAGACCTTCAGATGCACCTCCCACCTAGCTCTCATGTCAACCTGGAGCAGAGATGGAGCCAGAAAACCACAGAGAAGGCTGGTTTCACTTTCCCAGGCACAGCCAAGAACGTCAAGCCTCTGCTTCCTCCATTCCCTCCCATCGCAGGGTCCCAAGCCCACTCAGTGTCTTGCCATTCCCTCCACACACGCCCCACAGCTCTGCCCAGCTCTGCAGGGTTGAAGGGGGCTGGATATCTGTCCTGCTTTCACAGGGGGTAACTGGCTCCTACGCCCTTGGCCAGAACTCAAACGCACTTCTCTCCGGGGAGAGAAGCTGAGTGTGGGGAATCAGCTGAGGCCACTTCCTTCTCTCCCCTTACCCCTAACATCTGAACACTGATCTAACCAATGGAAGAAAGAGGAAAAGAGAGAAGACAGAGTAGGAAAGGGGGAAGGGAAGGCACGTCTTCTACTTGCCTGAACATCAAACTCTTGCAGGAGGCCAGTGATGGTCTGTGGAAAGACAAGAGACGTGGTCAGTTTCATCAGTTTCCCGGGGCAGAGAAATTATGTCAGAACACACAGACCTCTCCATGCCCTGAGTCTGTTATATCTACCCTATGTCCTCTGTGGGGCCTCTCTAATGCCTTACAGAGAGAGACTTTTCATCTCAAAGAATTGCAGTCCAGCAGAAAAGTAGACACAGTAGATGGATTCCTTTTTGACTGCAGCCTTAGTGAAAAAAGATCTGAAGGTCTAAGCTGACCACAAGCTTGAGAGATACAGGACTGTAATTGCCTATTAACTGATCTCTCTGTCTCCACCTATGTGCTACACTTTTAAAGCTCAAAACTGACCATGTTACTGCCTTTAAATTTCTTCCACAACAGCCTATCATCTAGATTAAAATCCAATCTCTCATGGGTGGAAGAGGAGAACAGAGCATTTCCCTCAATCCAACAATTCTGAGTGTCCAGTCCAAATTCCATCTTTCACCAGAGCTGACACTGGCAGGTCAAGCCCAGGAAGACAGGAAAGGGGCCCTTGTCCCCTGGGTAGCAGTGGAAGTACAGCTCAGAGTCGAAGTTGGAGCCACCTGGGCCAAAGTTTCCAAGAGATGTTACTGGCATGCTTTCCTCTCAGCTCAGAGATGGAGTTCAAACACCCCCTGAAAGCGGAGGCCCAGTTAGACCCACCACTACCCACCGTGAAAGAAAACAGCTCAGCAGAGCAAAAGGCAAAAGAGGTGACAGAAGGGGAAGGAGGACCCCTTGGGACAGCCAGGGGTTGGAAGATAAGATTGTAACAGCCGCCTGCTGAGAGAGATTAAAATAGCTTCACACCCCCTGGGGCTGGGGTTAAGAACATTAGGGAGTTTGATAAATTCAGGTGGAAGCAAATGTGGCCAAAAATACTTCGTGTGTGTGTGTGTGTGTGTGTGTGTGTGTGTGTGTGTGTTGCTAGGAGGGAGTAGAAAAGCTATTCTGAACAACCCTAACCTTCAATATGTTAACAAGAGTGCAGAGGTCATCGAGATTGAGGACAGACATCAGGAAGAACTTCCCAACAGCAAACCTAATTAAAAACGCTTTGCTGAGTCAATCTAAGGAATTGGAAGGTTTACTTCCATCTAAACCTTGAAAGAAAGGGTCAATATCTACTTAGAGACAGGCTGACATGTAACCTGGAGTTGATAATCTTTTAGACGTTTGTTTGAGAAGTAAAATTTTCCAAGGGTAGCACTGTGATGCCTAAAATATATAAATGCTGTGTTTAAAAACGCATTTACCCTTGCACTCAGCGATGCCACTTGGGGAGTTTACCTTAGAGCTGCACCTGCGTGTGTACGAAATGATGTACATGTAAGATCCAACGAGTGTATGAACATCCTGCAGCACTGCTGGTAATGGCAATGCGGACCCAAGTGTCCACATACAGGGCACTGGTCAAATAAATGTGGTGGAACACTGTGACACTGGAAAGAGAGAAGCAAGTGCTCTATGGACTGACGTTGGAAAGGTCTCCATCGTAAGTGGATAAATAAATAAAGCAAAGCATGGTATACTATTTCATATGGTTTTTCAAAAGGGATAAGAATATGTTGATATGTATTTGTATCACCTAGGGGTTGATTTTTTTCTTGTTTGTTTGCTTTTCAATACTGTGTCAAAGATTCAGACAGAAGAGGAAATGGATTTGGAGCATGAATAGTGAATAGTACTGTAGCTGGCAAACTATGGCCCTCCCCATTCCTCCAACTTTTGTTTTGTAAATAAAGTTTTATTGGAACACAGCAAGCCCATTTGCTTACATATTGTCTAGGGCTGCTTTCATGCGGTAACTATAAAACTGAGTAGTTACAACAGAGACCATGTGGTCCTCAAAGCCTAAGATACTACCATCTGGCCCTTTATAGCAGATGTCTGCAGACCCCTAGCATGGCAATGATCTCAAGCATTCTGCAGCTTCGCCTGGCCTGGCTTCTAATACTAGCTGTGTCATCTATCCAAATGAACTTGGGCAATTCCCTTCCCAACAAGACCGGTTTCCTTATCTATATAATGGGAAATAGAAAGTTGCCTCCCACTTTCATAATGAAAACTCCATGAACTAATGGACCTAAAACAGAGCAGCCACTAGCAGAGTCATAAGCCCATTCCAGTGGCAGCTGGCCTGAGCTTGGCTCCAAGCCCCACATTTTGTAACCATGTGACCAACCCAAGAGGACAAATTAACCTCCTGGAGACTCAGCTTCCTCTTCTGTAAAATGGGAACAATCAATGAACCTAGTTTCTAATCAACCACAGCCTTATCCTTCCGTTTAGCAGGAGAAAACCCATGAAGTGTGACTGGCCCAGAGACAGGCACCCAGGACGTGGCTCATGCATGCTAATTTTACTTTCAAAAGCATTCAGTTGATCTTAGAGTAACTGCACTTTTGAACCTGAGCTTTACATTTTAAAAAAAGGTGTCTCATCACCGGCCGCTAAGAGGCTCTGTGAGAACTGGGACACGAACATAGTTTTAAAATACAGCGTCAACTATGTAAATGAAAAGCCTTTTCACATCCATCCACAGCCGGTCCAGGATGGATCATGCCAGGCTGGGCTGTAGGGCAGGGGCTTCTGTTTCCAACAGGGAGGACTTGTCGGCCTGAAAGATTTGCCCAAAAAGATGGTAATAATTGTAGCAACAAGAGCTCATGAGCAAAGCTGGTCCCCTTCAGGGCGGACAGGGTTCTAACGGCTCCACATGAATTAACCCACTCTTTCCTCACCCTGGCCCCATGACATAAGTCCTAGTGTCACTGTTTTTTAAAGTTGGGGGCCTGGAGCACAAAGAGGTTGAAGGATTTGCCAGTGGTCACAAAGCTGCTGGGTGTCACAGGCAGGATCTGAACATAGAGAGTCTGGTCCCAGTGTATGTGGCCTTAACCTCTAAGCTATGGGGCAGACAGAGTCGATGGACAATGGACTTCATGCTGCAGGTTTTAGAACCACAGGATGCCAGAGGTGGAGGTGATTAGAGGAACTCTGGTTCAATGTCCTTACTTCACAAATGAGATCAGTGAGGAGAGGGCAGAAAAGCCAGCGGTGGGTGAGAGGCCTGGCCACAGTGCCTTAGCACTCGGGAGCCAAGCTGGGACTTGAACTGGTACTTCTTGTCCCTTTGCATCCCTGGACAAGGTGACCTGTGGAAACCAGGAAGCAGTGGGCATGTGCGTGTGTGTGCATGTATACACATGTGGCAGTGTACATGCATGCGTGTTCCTATTGTGCACACACGTATGCCTCTGTACGAGTGGGCACGGGATGGGGTTAGCCAGGGGCATCTCCACTCACCTCCCCTTTCTCCACCAAAGGCTTCACCTCAGCGAGGTCCACGTCCTGCAGCTCCCGAGACATGTCCCTGCTGTCACCTGCCTACAAAGGGACAGAGACCAGGAGGTTAGCGCTTCCTGCTGAGACATGTTTTCAGAAAGGAGCAAATCTGAGGCCAGGGAGCAAGCCTTCACTTGCACAACCCAGCAGCTCCTACCTCCTGCCCACCGCCCCATCCCATCCCACTCTTGCCCCTGGGGACCCAGGGGAGTAGATTTCCTAGGATGGGAAACTGAGGCTTACGGACGCATCTACACTCAAAACCAGGCCCTCACGCCCAGTCCAGGACCACCCACCACACCGAGGACGTTTCTCCCTGCATTTTCGAAGGAGACCCACATCGCCGAGCCCAAAGTCAGGCAGCCCCAGCTTGACGACCAAAAGGGGGCAGAAGGTCGCGGAGGCCCGCCACAGGCAGGCATGGCACTAGCTTCCTCCTTCTTCATCCTCAAACTAGAGGGGCCCCAACAGAGGGGCGGCCACGCAGATGCCCCCGTGTCCAGCTCTGTGCAGGGCACTCTGCTCCATGCTGGGGGAAGAGGGGCAGGGGGCAGGGAACACCTCACGCCAAGGGGTCTGACACTGACCACTCAGGAGGATTTTGAAAGAAAAAGGACTTTAGAGGCAAAAAGCACTGCATGAGCCAGATCAGGGGTGGGAGAGCAGGGGTGGGGAGGGCCGGGGTGGGGGCAGAGATCGGGGTGCGGCAGAAGAGGTCCTCCTTGGCTCTGACGCCCAGGCAAGTGCAGAAGAACCAAAAGAGCTAAGCTGAGCCGAGTTCGGGCGGCGGAAATGCCACCATAATCGACTCCCTGGGGAGCGAGGCCTGGGCGGTGACAGTTACTGAGCGCACACCTGGGTGCCTAATCAAGGACCTGGTGGCATAAACGTTTCTTGTTACGGATGAATAGTCAAACTGGGAGAACGAAGCGCCCACCAGTACCGGGGTGAGGCACAAAGAGTCCAGAATGAGGGTTCCGGGCTGCAGGCAGAGGCCGACGAGACAGGGTGAAGAAGTAAGTGACAGGAGGCCAGAGACCCTCAGGTCACAGACCCAGACCTTCCGCGTCGGCTACTTGGTGAAAAGCCGCCTGACCTCGGCCCTCACGCTGCTCCTTTCCGGGATGGGGACCTCGCCCCAAGCTCCCCGCAGACGTTAACAGCCAGAGAGAGAATGCAAGTCTCTGAACTTCCAGCCCGGGGCTCCTCTGAAGATCCAGCTCCCCGAACCCACAAGAGCCCTCTTTGTGACACACCTCTCAGAGGTCAGCGGGCGACAGAGCAGGGGCCACCCAGCCCCCAGCCCTGTGCCACTGTACATGGCATTCCGTGGGCAGGTCCCCTGGGATGCTCGGGTCTGGGGCCCCGGCACGATTTTCCCCAGTAGATAGCCAGCCCCACAAGAATGCCTTTATGCAGCCTTTGGAGTCCAGGCTCCAGAACATTCTGAAAACAAAGTCGGTTTTATATTTGTGAACATTGCTGGGCAGCTGCCAGCTTGGAAGCAGGAGGCATGAAAAGCCAAGGTCTGTCGGCCTTGCTAACTCAGCGTGTTCGTGGTCCCGAGACCCTGGCCGTGGGACACCTCG